CTTCCTAAATAAAGTGAAGAGAGAGAGAAAGAGAAAGGAGACAGAGAGAAAGAGGAAAAAGAGAGAGAGGAAAATATAAAATGTTTGGAGACAGAAAAGGATGAAAGGTTTAATACACTCCTTCAGTTGAGTTTATAATGTCTTAAAAATAAAAAGTAAATAGAAAGCAATTTAGTATTATTAAAATATGCCAGAAGTACTGAACTCGCTGGCATCTCTACTTCTAGGGAGCATAAACAGGGAGACCCTACCTAAAAGGATAATATGAAAAGGAGCAACTTTGACTGTTGCTGGTAAAAAAAAAAAAACTGTTCCAAAAGATTGGTGCAGTAGGCTTGGTCTGATATTGGGACAGTCATGAGATGCTTATGTACCTTGCTAATGGCTGGTTAGATTATGCATCCATCTAATGGTATGCTTACAGTGTGTGTGTGTGTGTGTGTGTGTGTGTGTGTGTGTGTGTGTGTATGTAAACATCTTCAAAATGGTTCTTAAAATGATGCTATAAGGTTAATATGATACTCAAGGCAACAAAAAAACCAGGGTCTTTATTTTCAAGATCTCAGTTATAAACTGCTTAGGCTTTTTATACATAAATATGTAAACATCTTGAGAATGGTGCTTAATATAGAGTCAATGTAAAAATTATTACTCTGTTCTACTGCTACTTTTAAGAAAACAGGTTATCAAACTTATTTCAATCAGTTCTCACTAAGATGCAGGCCTTCAGAGGTTAACACTCTGGTTTAGACCAGAGGGGGAGGTGCAGGAGGAGAGAGAGGGGGAAGGGGAGGAGGAGGAGGAGGAAGAAGAAGGAAAGAAGGAGGAGGAGGAGGGGGAGAGAAGAAGAAGAAGAAAGAAGAAGAAGGGCCATAGCCTGCAACAAAAATCTTGGAATTTGGGTAAAGAAATGACCTTCACATGTTTCATTCTGCCATAATTACAATCTGGAATTTAATTCTCTCTTGTAAAACAGGGATCTATTAACAAATGCGCTTTCTATAAATTGTTTTTATACAAAAAAAATAATGTTAAGGTTGTTTGCTTTCTGTTTTTTTTTCCCCCATACAAATATATGGTTCTCAAGAAAACAAAACAAAACAAAACAAAAAAAGAAACAAATACAAGGTTCTAAGTTAAAAGGTTTTATAAATTAATTTCAACAAGCAACATGATATTAAAATATGATTTTTTAAAATAAAAGGATAAAAAAATAGTTTCAGATAAAAAAGGGGGGGGGGTGATAAAGACAAGCTCCCCCAGGGGATACAAAATAAGTTTTCATAAAGATACAGAGTAAGTTGTCATAAAAGATGGATCTACTTATGTAAGTGATTAAGTTTACTAAAATCTAAGAGTTACATTAAAGATTTTATAAGGTCAAAATTTAATGTACTGATGTTAAACTAAAAACTTAATTCTCTAAGCTCGTAACAACAAGGCTTTCTTTAAAATATTGTTCTTGATACCATTTACAAAAAATTGTTTTAAAATGGTTTTTTCTTTTGTCAAGATAACTGTCAGGGAATTTTTGGTGCAACAGGTTAATCCACAAATTTGGCAAGAAACAAGAGTTTATTAAAACAGAGAAACGAGAGGCAGCTGAGCACAGGGAATACTGCTGCACTGATATAAGGGTTGTAACAAATTTACTTATGTAAAGCCAAAGTACACCCTCCAGATAGGATAAAAAAAAGAAACTCAAAAAGGGAACACTACACTGGAAGTCAAGACATCCAGTTTTTATTGGACTCAACAGAGTGAAGGTGTTAGTCCTACTCCTTCCACATGTTGGATGGAGGGAATTTTTTGTCCTGGGAAGGCGAAATTGGGCCTGTAATTTTAGGGGGACTCCACTGACTACAGGTTGGTGGGATCCTGCTGTATGTCATGAGCCATATGTTAATGCCAACAATCTGGGGTGTGATCCCTTATCAACATCTGAGCCATGATTCTTTGCCACTATGTTTCCTAACTGAATATTTAGTCCCCATAAATATTTACCTGTGTTCTCTGGTGATTTTTGTCAGGGTTTTAACTACTAAGGTAACTGAGTCATGTTCATTTAAGAGTTGGTTTATGTTGGGGTTAACAATAAGGACAGCCATGTTAGGACTAGATGCCCTCCCCCTTGCAGATGGCTTACCTTTATCTCCCTGGGTAGATGCCAAGGACAGTTGGACAGACAGTGACCTAACTACAACTTTTCTTTCTTGGTTGCCCAGCAACAATATCCCTTAGTGACCTTCCTGGTACTTTTCCACTAGCCCCCTATATCTAGCCCAAGCCTGTGTATGGCAATGAGCTCTAGCTCTGTAGCTGGGGTCTCCCTCCACAGGGCTTCTGCCTAAACAATAAACTCTTTACTGGTGTTTGAGCCATCCCTCTGCCTCTTCCATACCTCTTATTTTCTAACAGTTTATATAAAACTTTCTAAATGACCTCATTGTTAAACAACTGTTGTTTTGGGTGATTCTAATACAGTTGGCACCCTATATATGTCTGTGACTAGGTTATTTGGGGTCACAGATACTCTTCTCCCCCCCCCACCAAACGATGAAAAAAACCTAAGGTTTTACTTCAAAAACAACTAAACTAATATGTATATATGACCTCTATAGAGCTGTGATGCTGTTGCTGGTTCCTGTATATTAAATATTATTTATGTTTTACAAATATATCAAGCCTTCTAAAATACAAAATTTAGATAAGCACAGTAACAAAAGGTTAGTGTGTTCTGTTAATTGCTAAATTGTCCTTCAGAATTTTAATCATGGTTCTTAAGTTTTTGTCATTACAGTTCTGATCCTTCTGGGACATATACAATCAAGTCCATTAAAAAATGACTCTAATAACTACTTATGTGTCAACCAGTTTAGCTTTTTAGACATCTGCTTTTGTTAGATTTTGTTTTGTATTTTCCTTGTCTAGAAGCCCACTGCCTAAGAGCCACTCCTTCTAAGCCTCTTTCTTGCTTAAATTTGGCCAAAAGGGTGTAGTTGGTACTGACTCCCACCTGATCTGCTCATTATTCCTTCCCGATGTGGGACCAAGACCAACCAAACAAACAAAATCCAGGAAAAAGCAAATCTTGACAATGACGAAACAAAAAAGATCTTCAGTCTAAGGCCATATCACCCTGAATGTGCCCAATCTCATCTGGTCTCAAAAGTCAAACAGGGTCAGGCCTGGTTAGTACTTGGAAGTAGAGATTGCTCTGAGACAAGCAGTTTGGAGACAAAGGGGGGAATGCCATCAAAGTTCAAATGGAGTCACTGGTGTCAGACCTCTCAAAAATAATCAAGGCAGAGCAGATTAAAGAAATGATTCTTATGCATGTGTGGCTATCTGGCATTAAACCTCTTCCAGACACAAACTCATATTTCTAGACAGGGTCTTCTAGTTAAATAGAAATAAAATATTTTTACTGGCTCTAAACATGTCCTTTAATACTTAAGATGGTGGTTTTAACTTTTTAAAACAATGAGTTTTCTTGGACATATATACTGACAGTATATTATTGCCAAGGTAATTCTACTAAAAAAATATTGTCTAGATTAAAAAACAAAAACAAAACTAAAATGTCCAACTATTAAAACCCCATTGGAGAAGCCCTTTGGTTGTTATCTTGTCTACTTCCACCTTAGTTAAGTAGCAGCGATTGCTCCTTGGATCCACCACAGTCAAGTCATGCCAGCTTCTCTCAAGTGGCAGTGAATCCTTGATCTGTCTTCACTGTGCAGGATCATCTTCTGGAACCTGAGCGCCCTTCCTCAGCAGGACTCTGCTTCCCAGGAAACAACAGAGGACCAAGAACAACTGAATGACAGCCCTGTGCTAGTCACCACTGGAAGCTGACTAGTCTATGCATGGCAGAAACTTGAGTCAACTCTCCAACAGGACAAATGAGTTGTTTTTCACCCCAGTTATCTCACTGTAATGCATTATCACCCCTTGTCTGTATCTGCTGCCATAGTTTTCACCCTAGTCTTCGCCATAGGCTTGGGAGAAACTGCCCCGCTGATTGGTCTCATGGTGAAAGGTTTTTATTTGCTCTCTTCTATCTCTTTTGAGCAGGATGCATAATTACTATTTATTGTTACTGATCTGGTTTAACAAAGAACAAAATATGCAGCCCTCCTTCACAAGGGGAAAGCTGCCCCTAACTACACCCATGGCGCCTGTAACCCTGTAACTTTCACTGTACTTAAGCCCTCTGATTAAACACTGAGAAAAGTAATTAGTATAAAAATAGATAAAAAAGGGTCTTGACCCTGAGAGTCTGATACACCTCAAATTAGTAACCATTACCCACGAGAGTTCCTCATACCAAGTTTTTCACTCCTTTTATAAGAAGGTGAAAAATAAATTTTCCATCTCTGCCAAAGTTAAAAACTTGTTCCTTTCACTGGCTGACTCTATAGCCCAGACACTAAATGTCACTTTATGCTATGTTTGTGGGGGGACCAACATGGGAGACCATTGGGCTTGGGAAAAGGATGACAAATGGCCTTACATGTAATGATGTTATAGAAATACAAACCCCTAAATTAAGATGATGCACTTTGACCCTAAGTGGGTCTGAGCATCAAAGGGGTAATAATGTAGCAGGGAGGAGGATCACGCGTGAGTCCTTAGAAAGTAGCAGGGAGGTAGGGATGGCATGGTAGAGAGATAAAACCTGAGAAATCTGAACATGACAAAGGTCATGTAGCACCAGGGAGGGGAAAGTCACATAGCACTAGGGTAAAGTAGCCAATAAAATTAAATATAACCATATATGGATTAGACCTTGCTTTTTGCTTCTGTAACCTGTTTGCAAGGGTATATAAGGTAAGACCCCTTTGTTCTTGGGGATCAGCCTTTGGACATGAGTCTGTTGAGTCTGTGCTGGCACAATAAACTATTGCTTCCTGCTATTTGCCTCAAGAGTCCCGTATCTCAGCTAGCAAACTCCCGCAACAAGACAACCATTGCTGGTGATTGTAACACCCATAAGGATGTGCCCTAAGACTTCACCGCTCCTGCACCATCTGCTCCTGATGCTGTGTTACCTATCAGTGTCTCTTCACCTGACACTGGTATCAGTAGAGTCAAAGGCATTGGGTATGAGGTTGTACCCATTGGAAACCGGGAAGCTACAACATCTGCGAACAGGAAGGGTCTGGAGGGAGAAGCCCTGAAGCTGGAGCTGTGCAAGAACAAGTCTGAGGAGGACCTGAAGGAGAAGAACTCAGAACTGGAGGAGAGGCTTTGAGTCCTGACTGAGGACGAGGCCATACAGAAGCAACAGAAGAAGTTGGAGATGTCTTAGCTGTTGCTGCTACAGTCCTCTAGCCAGTACCCCCCATAGTAACCAGAAGTTCCAACAGGTGATGGAAGAGCTGTCACAGCTGGAAGGCCATGTGGGACAGCTAATGGAGGTAGTGAAACAAACACAGGTGGAGAGAGACCACTATGGAGTCTCTGAAAGAAGAGAGGTACAGCAAATGTTGGTACAGCTGTGCACACTGAGAGAGAAGGAGCAAAGTATGAGAGGAGTACTCCAGCTGTAGACCAACTTGGTGCAACTGAGGAACCAGGTGGCAGAACTACTGCCCCCAGAACCTCCAGAAGGGCCAACTGAGGCAGAACAGTGGCAGCAGGAAGAGGCCCAGCAACTAAGGAAGATGCTGGAGAGTCTGGCAGGACAGCTGCATGCCTAGGTTCAGGAGAATGAGGGGCTGAGCCACCTGAACCAGGAAAAGGAGGAGTGGCTGCTGTGCTGGAGCAGTAAGCAAAATCTGGGAGCAGCAGGGAGAGGATGGCAAGCATAGACAATGACCATAATGTCAGCCATGAGATCTTGTGGACCACAGAGTATGAATGTACCACAATCAGCAATGAGATCTTGCGGACCACGGAGAAAGACTGCGCTAGTATCAGCCATGAGATCTTGCCAAACCCTGAGCTCAAGGAACAGCTGGCCAAGCTGCAGCATGGCTTCATCAGGCTGACCAGTGACAGCAGGAAACTGACTATCACACTGCAGTCAGAGCAGCATGTCAAGAAGCAGTTGGCCAAGAACCAGGACCGACTACAGGAAAACCTGGATGAGTTGAAGGGGATGGTGGAGCTGAAGAGCCAAGGGTCTCCAGGACGCAGGAGCAGTGAGAGCAGTGCCTGTCCCACCACCAACAAGCATGTGGTGGCATTTTCGAATGCATCTGTAAACAGTGCTGAAGAAAAGGAGGCACAGTGGCACAGTCAGTCAAGAAGGCAGAAGGCAACCTGCTGGTGCATGGCTCACCTGCCAGCCCTGTCCCAGAGTGAGCTCGAGAAGGATGTCCCTGCCCCTGGGAGCAGGGGAGATTGAGAGTATGGGGAGAGCCACTTCCTTGAGGTCATGCCAAACAACATGGACTTCAAGGAGCATGTGGAAGAACTTCAACACCTCTTCACACAACTCCCCAGAGATGGACGCCATCGAGCGCATTGTCCTCTACCAAAAGCAGAGCATAGGCTGAAGGAGCTAAAGGACAAGGAGGAGGATGCTGTCATCAGGCTGGCCTAAGACAAGGAGGAGATAATGGGGGAGCTTCAGGATCTGCAGCTCCAGCTTGAGGATGAGCGTGAGTGGCAAGGCAAGTTCCTGGCAGCTGCACAGAGCCATACTGTTTCAGGAGGGCTCACAGGGCACCAAATCTTTCAGGAAGCAAGTTTATTAAGCAAGCCTGCAGCAACAAAGTGGACTCAGTCCAAAGGTTGAGCCCTAAAAACAAAGGGGGCTTTCCTTATATATGATTTAGAGCATGTTACAGTAATGGAGGGGGATACAGCTTATTCCATACATAATCACATATTACTTTATTGGCTTCTTTAACCTGGGACAAGAGACCCTTCTCTGGTCTCCAGGTAACTTTCCCCAACTCTGGTTTTCCTTTGTTTCACTGTAGCACTCATTAATCTCCCTTCTGCCTCCCTGCCTTCCTGCCACAATACTGCTGACCCCAGCTCAAGGTCCCAGGGCCCCAGGAGGAACTTAAAAGCTCTCTGTGAGCAAGCTGACTTCATAGCAGTTGACCTCATTGACTATAGGAGCCTGAGGAAGAATGTGGGGTAGCTTCACCACTGAGACCCTCTCATTGCAGTAGATCATGCACATACAGTGTGAGACCCAGAACCCCCAGGGGTGTGCGGGCTCAGATGACAACTCCTGTTGTTTCTTATTCTCCAGAGCAGAGGAGGTGGACCAGATGACTGTGGAGATGCCCCTTAATGTCTTCTAACAAATGATGGTCAAGGCCTAGAGAAGTGGGGTCAGGGCTCTGTCCCACCCCAGTCTCTGCCACCCTGTCCCTAGCACTTCTTCCCAGTCAACCTTTTATCATTACAGTAGCAAGATAAAACCCACTGTGTTAACACTTGTATACTTGTTGCTATCTTAGCAATGGCAGATCATTAGTTGAGAAAATAGAATAAAAATTGTAAAGAAACAAGAAAACTACATTAAAGGCAAACATTAGACAAAATTTGCTGTGCTCTCTTCTGTCTGTTGATCATCCAAAATGCTAGAGCCCACAATCACTGTAATGAAGGGAGATATAATGAGATGCATATGTGATGTGAACCTAGTTCAAGAACGAATACTTCTGTCTGCAGAACATGAGTTGGCATCCATGTAGGATCCCTACACAACTGAATGATCATTTACCAAATATATATTTTTATATAAACTGCAAGTTTTGAGTAGCTAATATAAATCTGTTGAACTTTCCTTTCCTTCTAACAATATTTGAGAGGAAAATCTAACATGTAGATGAGATTTTAGTCAATTAGAATTTTAGATGTATTTGAGTTTTTCTAAGCATGATTTTCTAAACTGATTAACAGCTTCCTACTCCACTGTGCACCAGTTCTTGGCTAAATGTAGCAGTAGGACATTAGTGGAGTGGGGTGGGGTAGCAATGATTATGTGTGGACTACATTGCATAGCCAGGAAGCACTACAGAATTTCCATGGGCCATGGAGTAGAAATCTAATGATTTTTCTCTCATACACTTCAAGCCCACTTGGAAAATGCAATGGATACAGAAACACAATCAGTCCTTCAAAAATTATTTACCACTACCACAGAGCCTTTAATATAGTCACAATTCTGCTGCGTCTTGTGATGATGCAAAATGACTGCTTTGAAAGGAAACTGAAATATGTATTTTCTTTCTCATGCCAAACAGGTGATGAATCTCATACACTCTAAAAGCTAGGCAATTCAGAGCACTAGCCTTATGTTTAATAGCACAGGACAGCCCCAGAAAACTCCTTATGTCAACCTTGTCTAATCTAAATTGTTTCATTTTTCTAGTTTTTAATGCACTCTATGTAGAACTTTACAGATTTGCCATTTTAAATTTATGCAATTTAAAAAAAGAAAAAATAGCTGGGTGCAATGGCTAACATTTTTCATACTAGCTCTCTGGGAAGTGGAGATCAGGAAGATGGTCACTGAAAACAGGTCAAACTAAGGGGAGGGGCCTTAAAGGGGGGAAGAGTGAGAGAAGGAAGTAAAAAAGTTTTGTTGATTTATTTTCTATAAAAGAATGAATATTGAATATTTAAACCTGTTGAAATCACCATAAACAGGGGACTAAGGAAGAAAGGAGAAAAATGAAAGGGATTTTCAGTACATGACAGTGAGGGAGCTACTATGCTATGAAAGAAACCCTGACCCAGAAGCAGGTAAACTATTCCTGGAGTCGGGGATGGGGGCGTGGAGAAAGGAGAATGATGGAGGGGTTAAATTCAACTATGATATATTTGATATATTTTACGAACTTTTGTAAATGTCACAATGTATCCACACACAACAATAAAAAAAGAGGAAAAAAAAAAGAAAAATGTAAGGGATGACTCAATTCAGGATATAATATGTATACACTTGGAAATGTCATAATGAAACTCCCTGTATAGATATTTAAAACTAACAAAAATGTCTTGTTTTTAAAAACAAAGGATAGGAAGGTAAAACAGATCCTGTCTGGTGGTTGGTACCAGTGGGAGGGGGGAAGGGAAGTGTGAAGGAGGGTGAATATGGTAGAAATATCATGTATGAAAATGGAAGAATGGAACCTGTTGAAAGAATTCAAGAAGGAGGGAAGAGAGATGAAGGAGAATGATATAGGGGGTGAATCTAACCAAGATATATTGTAAGCACTTTTGTAAATGTCACAATATATCCCCGGTAAAACAATAATATGATGATAATTTTTTTTTAAAAAACAAGGATTATGATTAAAGGCTAGCCTATACAATACCCAATCTCAACAAAGTAGCCAGGTGTGGTGATGCACATTTTCCAATCCCGAGAGGCACAGATGGGAGGATTGCACTCTGAGGCCATCCCCAGGAAAATGAGACCCTATCTGAACAGGTGCAAAAAGGGCTGGGAGCTTGACTCAAGTGGTAGAGCCCCTGCCAAGCAAGCACAAGGCCCTGAGCTTAATCTCTAGCAATGTCAAAAGGAAAAAAAGAAGAAAAATGTATTTTCATAATCAAAACAGGGAATAGCAGTAAGAGTTTTCTTTTAAGAGACAAGTATGCATCTGTGTCTATTGTGTGTATCAGTGTCTGTCTACATATGAAAGAAATAACAAGAAGCAGAAAATAAAAGTTGAATTTAAAACCACAAGATGTTATTTGAGCTAATCTAGTCCAATGCTTTCCAGTTCTCTGCAGAATGCCACAAATACATGATCAGGGGTGGGATCCAGATATTGTTAGTTTAAGCATAGTCTTCCTTTAACTCTCATTACTAAGATTAAGTAACCATGACTTATACTGCAACCTGATTCAACCACTCAAAAAGAATATAATGTACATATAAATGAAGGCATATTCTAAAGGGATGAGGCTGTAGATATATAACCAGGTATTCCCAAGTCCACAGTTACAAAAATGAATGACTCTGGACAGAACATTCTTTCTTTCAATGTGTATTGCTCTGTTTCTGTTGTGTTTAGTATGCATATGTATGTGAAAGTGCATATGACCACTTGAGGTCCAATACTATATACATTGTTGGTGTATAGATTTAAAGAACTAGACAAATTCTCAGCAATCCTTTGACTTTATATAGATCATGTATTGGAGAAAAAGATAGTATCTTATTCCAAATTGAGAAATATGGCTATTTCTTTATAATAATATTGAACAAAGTGTTGAAACACCAATAAAATCTGTTTCTGCTAGATATAAAATAACAGACTTGAATGTGGAAATGTACATAAATTGGCATTAACATTCTTTCATCCAAGAATTGAACTAGTAAAATGAGGACAAATTCTAGAATATATAAAACTCAACTGTTTGTTTTGTAGTGTTTGGTTTTTTGAGACCAGAGCCTTTCTATGTAGCCCAGGCTGTCTTCGAACTAATAATCCTCTGCTTAGCCGGGCCAACTGCTGGTAAGATTTTCTTACAAATAAAAATGTGCAAATATTCCTATAGAGGATTTGTTTCTATTATCTTTGTATTCAACATTAACATTTTGCATTTCGAAAATAGTAGACTATCCTATCAATATTTTCTGAAAATACTGAATATTTCAGAACCTTTACATTGACAGAATTTTCACATCTGTGGATGTGTAAAAGGTTACCATTTAATCTCTTGCAAGAAAACTCAGGTAAAAACTGGTACATCGCTTCCATAAAGACTCCAAACTTTTGTTGTCACTGTTATCAGTGTCATTTGTAAAAGAGGCTAACGAGCAATGTATACCACATTCAAATATGCTTTAATCCTGGAAATGATAAAGGAGGAGTCCATTTCTACTTTTCATTTCTATAGCTAATGAGAGACTCCTAGCATTCTTTAATTGACCCAGAAATCTTCAACTGCCTTATATATTCGTTAAATATAGTTTGGAGCTTGGTGCCAGCTGGGGGATTTGATGTCATCTCTTCCCCCTATGGATTTCATCTCATTTCCCATAATGTATAATTGCACATTCATTTGTGCAGTTCTTTATTTTTTTGAAGGTCTCATTAACAACAGGTTGTTGTTTGACCTGTTCCAAACATAAATCAAACTGTTTTGCCTAGCTTTAGAAGGGCATGTTTTTCTAACATTTTAAATCTAGGATGGTTGTAGAAATGAGGGAAAGAAAAACATTAGTTTTACTTAGGATATGTAATTGGGATTTTAACTACACAAAGCAGAAATCAAACTAGTGCCTTTTGACAAGATGTGTTGTTCTCTGACATAAAGGAAATCAAGAGTCAGGTTGTTGGGATTTTCTGTATCTGCTCTCCCCTGAAGCAGTCCATCT